AGAGTCAGACACGACTGAACGACTGAACTGAATTGCATTGAATCTGCTAGGAGAGGGGGAGAGCCTGGGTTGGCCCAGGCCGCCTGCTGCCGAGCCTGCCCACTGCTGAGCCCGCACGGGGGAGGCAGTGGCAAAGTGGGCCAGAGGAAGAGCCTCACCTGATGGGACTGACAGGGGAGGCAAGGGCCCTCCTCTCGCGCTCCGGCAAAGGCTCCCAGTGGAAATCCAGCTTCCAGTCCAACACTCCTCGCTGCTGGTCCTCGGAGGGGTAATACTGGAAGGTCTTCCAGTCAATCACGTCTAGGACAGGAGACACCACCCTGCTCCTGAAAGGAACCATGAGATCAGAGAAGAGATACACGCCTTCCATTTGCTGGGGAGGGGGCGTGTGGGAAGAAACATAATTTAGCCAGCAGCCCCCAAAGTGGCAACCACCATCCAAGCGGCCACTGAGCACCTAAAATACCAGGTGTCTGAACCGAGATGTGGTGTAAGTGTGAAACACGCACTGCATTGAGAAGACTTAGTATGAAAAATGGTGTGCCCATCTCAGTATCGTATGGATCACATGGTTCTTACCTGGATCGTGAAACTTGGTTGTCTTGGGGAACCAGGATTGTCAAGCCCCAGAAGTCTCCTTGATGTTAAAGCATGTGTGTGTGTGTGTGTGTGTGTGTGTGCACGCGCGCACATGCATGCACGTGCACACGTGCGTATATATGAGTACACGGTGTCTCTCAGCAAAGTCCTGCAACCAGATTTACTTGTTCATTTACTGTAGCTGTTGGCATTGTATTTCATCCCAGTTTTTTTGCACAGCCTGGGACTACATGACCTCAGAGAGAGCACTATGGGAAATTGGTACAGATTTCAGTACAGGTTGGAAACCCTGCCTTTTGACGCATCACTCAGGTATAACAGCAGCTGCCCTCTACCTAGTCATATCTCAGTCACATTTTTTTCCTGGCTTCTCATGACAGTTTCTTCTAAAAACTGTACCTTGGAATGAGTTAGGCATGAACTCAGGGGTTACTCAGTTAGACTGGTAAGAAAAGTCTTAGACTGGCTGGTAGTTACCAGCCTAAGAAAAGGAATATTCCTGGGAAAGAGATGCCAGCCATGCTGTTTACACTCCCATCGGTTTCCATCCACCTCGGAGACAGCCGGGGCTGGCACGAGCTCAGCCCGTGTGGAGAGGGCCAGGGTGGTCCTGGAACTCAACGATCTGCTTTAATCTGTGGCCTCCAGTGACCGGCCCTGGCATGAAGGGTTATGGGGTTTATATTTACAGCAAGGATCTTGATACATTTTCCCCGCCTTCTGGAAGGTAATGGTAACTTACTACCTCTGGCCTCCACCACTTTGGAGTACGATGCATTGACCTAAGGAAACTGAAGAGTACGGGCAAGGATTTCAGGAGCCAGGTTTGCTTACTGTTGAATGAGCTGTGTGGAGAGGATGGATTTGGCAACTGGCAGAGCATTTTGTGGAATTTCAGAATCAAGAGCCAGGGAAGCTGTGTGGCTGAATTCTGAAGAATCCCATCAAGTCGGTGCCATCTTAGTAATTGTAACAGGACAAGAAAGGAAACTGCGTTCAAGTGTCTACACCATCAATTTGTCCCAGATCTTTAAACTGTGTCCTTCTTGATAAAAAGTTGTACATCCCTTTTCATCAGAGGATGATCACCCTAAAGTTTCTCTTTTTGCTCTGTCTCGCTGGAGGCTCAGGGTCATATGTAAATCTCGTTTCTAATAACTGTATTATTCCCAGTTTCCAACACCGTCTTTTCCTTTCTGAAGTCTTCTCCTTCTATTTTAGCTAGTTACATAAGTGATTCATCATAAGCCTCTGAACACATTTTGGGTAAAGGTGAAGATTAAAATGTCAATGAATGGAATAAAAGATGTTTCCTTATTTTGGTTTTTATTCCCATGGGCCAGAGTGGCTACTTGGTTGGGGCTGAATTAGAAAGACATTGGAGTGGAGGGACTTGAAAAGGAGTGATTAAAAAAAAAAAAGTCATACTTAGCTTTGTTTTTCAAATCTACAGATGTATTTGGAGTTCTTGGAATTCACTTAGGGCAAAATAGCAAAGCTTTCCTGTCTGACTTGGAAGGAGCAAGGAAAGGACTCACTCTATCATCCTGTCACTTCTGAACTGAGTTTTAACTCGCAGGCGGACTTGAGGTCAATCCTCTCCTAAGCCTTTCTAAGCTCTAGGTGGTCAAGCATTTGGGTTTCAATGGAGCTGTCAACAAACTCCAACAAAAACTGAAATACGTGAGGTCAACAAAGGCACCACTGTCCAGAGAGCCAAAGCTGACTGCAACTGCAGACTCATCCACCAAACTTTTACCACAAGGAGGAAGGACCCTAGTTTATCTCACCACTCTTTGTTTTTCCCGCGGGCCTGAATGTTCTCTTGCTCTGTGATGTAGAAAGTCATTCTGGAAGCTCATGCAAATTCTCGGTGTTTGTGGGAAGTGTCTTATAAGCTCTAAGCCTCTCTTCCCAGAGCTTTGCTGCTCAGGTGCGACCCCAAGACTGATGCTGGCCCTCCCAGGACTCTGTCTGGCGAGGGGTGCAGAGCAGGAGAGGGGCTGAGAGCTTCCCTGGGGCCACAGACGGGAGGAAGGCAGCTCACTCTGCAGGCCTGGAGGCATCTTAATCCCTTGCTGCTCCTCAACACACACACACACACACACATATGCACACACATACATGCACACACATGGGATTCTTCAGACTGCCTTCCATCACTTAAGTCCTCCAGTATGGAGCAGCCTCAACCTCAGCTGAGTACTAGGTGACCTTGAGAACTAGGTGACCTTGAGAACCAGATGACCCTGAGAACTAGATGACCTCGAGAACTAAGTGACCTTGGGATCTAGATGAACTTGAGAACTAGGTGACCTTGGGGACTAGGTGATCTTGAGAACTAGATGACCTTGAGAACTAGATGACCTTGAGGACTGGATGACCTTGAGAACTAGGCATCTCTTTTGGATGCTTTTGATTTGTTAATGTGGGTTCATCAGTTGTAACAATTTTATCACTCTGGTGGAAGATGTTGACAACAGGGAAGGCTATGCGCGTGTGGAGGCAGAGGATATATGAGAAATCTCTGTAACTTCCTCTCAATTTTGGGCTTCCCTCGTAGCTCAGTTGGTAAGGACTCTGCCTGAAGTGCAGGAGACCCGGGTTTGATTCCTGAGTCGGGAAGATCCCCTGGAGCAGGAAAGGGCAATCCACTCCAGCATCCTTGCCTCTCAATTTTACTGTGTACCAAAATTTGTTCTAATAATAGAGTCTATTTAAAAAAAAAAAATAGAATGAAGACATCCCAGACCCTGCCCTTTGACCAGTGATCCAGGAGCTCTTTGGAAACTATAAAGTGATACGCACATAGTTTTAAAAAAGAACTACGTGTCCCTAAGGCAGGAGCCTGGACCAGTCTTCAAGTGGGAAACAGCATGGTCAGGCTCCTGAGCCAGGAACACCCCTAAGAGCGGGGTTTGCCCCTTTGCCCTTGGAAATCTCCCTTTTCCTCTGGCCATGACCCTCCCTCCCCGGCCTGGGCCCTGGAGCTGCAGTTGGCTCAGGCAGTGGTGGCCGGGGAGGGGGGTGTGTTCTGTGAGTGGCTGAAGCCGTAGACCATTTTTCCCTCTCCCGCCTCCTGCTCCACAGCCCCCGGTAGTGAGTTACCTGTCACCAGCTATTCTGGCCAGGAGGGGCTCCAGCCAGCCCGGCTGGCACTCGCAGTGGGCGTCCATGAAGACCAGCACGTCCCCGGTGGCCCTGGCGGCCCCCAGCATCCGGGCCCTGCTGGCGCCCAGTCTCCTGTTGCTCCTGAGTAATTTCACCCCCTCCAACCGGGCCACGTGCTCGCTGAGAGCCATCCTGAGTTGTCCTGGAATCGACAGGGTGGTGGTCAGTGAGGTCATGGGATGCCACAGCCCACGAGAGTGCGATGACCACCACTAGGATCATCGCCAACAGGCCGCTCTTGGGAGCGGAGGTGAGCATCACCTACATTACTGGGTGGTTGTTGCTAAGATGTGAGATGCATTGTTCCTTTGGGTGGATCGGGGTTCTCTCTGGTAAAAACCAGGACAAATGGCATTGTGAAGCTAGGAGAGAAGAGAACGTGCTCACATTCTCCAAAGGCAGCAGCTAGGTTGAAGCAGACGCTGCTGGTGCCCCGCTCAGATGCCCTGGGACCCCTCTTTCTGGTTTGGTTTGCAGGTGCCCAGCTGCTGGGGGTTGGCTGCTAACTGAAGTCCCCATCCTCCCTGGAGATGTGCCCCAGGGGATGTCCTGTGAGCCTCTCCTGCAAGTAGCAGGGAGTTGGGCAGAACGCCACCCCTCGCCCCAGGTGGGCGGTGGGTGGTTGGCAATGACTGACTGCTGCCTGAATACCAAACCCACTCTTTGCCTCAAGGCAAGACAGATGCTGAGGTGCATCTGGGGACGGGCCGTGGCTGAACTTCACCTGACACCGAATCTTAGCTCAACTCCTTCTGCCTCCTCCAGCTTTCCCTGCTCCCCTAGAGTGCCCCCCTGAGAGCACTGCCCCCCAATAACATACACATGATCCCCATCTCAGGCTCTGCTTCTAGGGTACCTGACCTAAGACACAGGGCTCAAGGAAGTCGAAGGCAGAGGGTCCATTGTAGGCGGCCCCCAGGAAGGTGGCACTGGCCAGAGAGGTCTTACTGTGGTGGTGGGGAGTGAGCAATGCTGCGGTGAAGAGAAAATAGGAGGCTAGAGATTGAGGGCGAAAGTCTGCACGTTCTTCCAGGAATGACAATCCTATAGAGGATACAGGTCGAGAGAAGCTTTTTAGGCTTTGTATTCAAGATCAGGTTCGATTCCTGGGTCAGGAGGATCCTCTGGAGAAGGGATAGGCTACCCACTCCAGGATTCTTGGGCTTCCCCGGGGGCTCAGCTGATAAAGAAGCTGCCTGCACCGCGGAAGACCTGGGTTTCATCCCTGGGTTGGGACGATCCCCTGGAGGAGGGCTTGGCAACCCACTCCAGTATTCTTGCCTGGAGAATCCCATGGACGGAGGAGCCTGGTGGGCTACAGTCCATGGGGTTGCAAAGAGTTGGACACGACTGAGTGACTAAGCATAACACAGCACATTCAAGATCAGAAAAACTGTGCAAATGGACAGGTGTGAGTGCGCCCAGATGAGGAAACCAGCAGAGATGGGAAGACCACCGGACAGTCATCCTTCAGAGTCAGGGTGAGGGCGTTGGTTCCAGGAGTCCCCCCACCCACCGCAGACACCAAAATCTGCAGATGCTCTAGTGCTCAAGTCCCTTACATAAAAGGTCAGTACAAGGGACCTCCCTGCCGGTCCAGTGGTTAGGACTCCACACTTCCAATATAGGGGTGCAGGACTAAGATCCCACATGCCGTGCAGTGTGGTCAAAAAACCAACAACGAGAGGGCAGCACAGTCACCCTCGAGCTGCTGGTTCCGCGCCTGCGGCCAGCATCACACTCTGTGGGTATCACAGTGTGGCGGAGCCTCTGGGGCTCTTCCCAGATGAGTCTCCTGCGCCCGAATCCCCGTCTGCCAGACCGCTTCCGGGAACCCCGTCTACACAAGCTCCAAACCCCAGTCTGTGCAGGGAGCCCCCCAGGGTCCAGGCCCTCCCGAGAGAGCCTGGAGGAAGGACTCCACACTTCCAATATAGGGGTGCAGGACTAAGATCCCACATGCCATGCAGTGTGGTCAAAAAAACCAACAACGAGACGGCAGCACAGTCACCCTCGAGCTGCTGGTTCTGCGCCTGCGGCCAGCATCACACCCTGTGGGTATCACAGTGGGGCGGAGCCTCTGGGGCTCTCCCCGGATGAGTCTCCTGCGCCCGAATCCCCGTCTGCGGGACCGCTTCCGGGAACCCCGTCTACACAAGCTCCAAACCCCAGTCTGTGCAGGGAGCCCCCCAGGGTCCAGGCCCTCCCGAGAGAGCCTGGAGGAAGCCCGCGGCCACCTTGCTGGCTGAGGTCGTCCACCAGGACGATCTCCTTCAGGAAGGCCCTGGGCGCCGTGTCCAGGATGCTGTGCACGGTCCTTAGGAGGGTGGACCAGGCCTCGTCGTGGAAGCAGAGGATGACGCTGGCAGTGGGCAGGCTGTCCGTGGGCGGCGGCTGCTGCAGGCACCTGCAGGGAGGAGAGGCAGGATGTGAGGGGAAGGGGAGCCCCGGCTGGGGCGGCGCCGGCCAGTGACTCTCCTCCCAACTCGATGGATCTTTCCCTGGGTCTTCTCAGAACTTCCACCAAAGTGAACCCATTGTACCCTCACAGATGTGCTGTCCACTGTCTCCCAGGCCTTGGATTCCAAGAACTGATTTACAGTGTTTATCCTTGCCTCTCCCCTAGCAGCTGAGCGGTATTACCACCTCTTCTCAGCAGACGACTGTCCTAATCTGTAAAATGGGAATGAATGACAAGATCACCCACCTCTTAGAGCTGGTGTGAGGCCCTAACAGGACAAGATACACAGTAAGTGTCCTGTCAACATGAAAGATCGTCTGTTTAAGAGCAAGGACACTATTTTCTTTATTTTTGTATTCCCACAATTTAGCATAGCATCTGACACATAATACATGTTAATTTTTATTTCACTCTATGTGTATCCTTTGCCCTAAAGTGGGTCTCTTGCAGGCAGCATTATAGTGGGTTCTTGTTTTTGTTTTTTTTTAACATACTCTGCCACTCTATGTCTTTTAGATGGATGTGGCACACTTAGAGGCACATTTAGCCCACTGCATTTAAGGTAATTATTGATAGACATATACTTATTGTCATTTTAAACCTTGTTTTCCCATTGATTTCATATTTCTTCCTTGTCCTTTTCCATTTTGTGGTTGGATGATTTTCTTTTGTATTAAGCTTATGTCTTTGCTTCTTGGGTTTTGTGGACTTATTGTATGTTTTAGATTTGTGGTCACTCTGTTTTTCAAGTACATTAATCCCTTCCTCTATCTTCTCATATTAGACTGGTAGTCATATAGGTTCAAACGCATTCTAGAAAAAAGAACTAGAGTATTTTCTTAAATACTATGACTATTTTCTTACTCATCCCCCACATTTGATGATTTTGATGATTTTATGATTTTACATCTTCAGGTTCATCATTTTACTGTCCATTGTGGTTGTCATCACTTTCACAGAAAAAAATTTTCTTGTTTTTTTTTTTATCTGTGTACTGGTTTATTTACATGATTTACCCTCCAATTATAATTTTCTCTTTCCTATAGATTCTTACTTATTTTCTATTTAGAGAAGACCTTGCAATATTTCCTTTGTGGTAGGTTTAGTATTGCTCTATTCTTTTCATTTTTGCTTGTCTGAGACATTCTTTACTTGTCCCTCTATTCTAAACGATAGTCTTGCTGGGTAGAGTATCCTAGGTTGCAATTTTTTCCCTTTCAGGACTTTGTATATGTCTTGCCTCTCCCCTGTGGCCTGCAACTTCTCTGTAGAGAAATCAGCTGACGGCCTTATAGGGATTCCCTTTTCATCCTCTCTTTCACTTTTGCCATTTTAATTATCATCTGTCTTGGTGTAGACCTGTGTCTGTTCAGATGACTCACAGGTGCTGACTTTACAAAGCCAGGGGCAGGGGTGTAAATCCATGGTGCGCACAACCGAAGGGAGAGAAAATTCAGCCCTGCTTCCCAAGTGGCGTGGCCCCGGGGCTCAGCTGTGGTTTCATTTACCCTTCTGCACATGGGCGGCCTGTGGCATCTGCTGCTGAGCCCTGAGTGGCGGCTGGGGTGCACTCCCTAGGAGCCCGCGGAGGCAGGGTCAATGTGTGGAGACAATGGCTGCTATAGTGACCCTGCCCTTGGCGCGCTACTCAGCAATGGTGCGTTGCTACTGTGGAGGGCTGGGCTTCTTCCAAGAACACCCCTTGTTGAACTGGGTCAAGCTACAGGCCCTTCCGGCTACCTCTGAGCAGCCAGCTCCATTCCTCTCCCCAGGCCAGGCCTCTGAACTCCGAGTCCCAGCACCCAGCCCCAGTCCGTAGCAGCAGACTCGTGTCTCAGACTGGGTGCCCAGGCTGGTGGCTGGACTGTCCATGCAGGCCTCTCTGCTCTGTCTGCTGCAGGCTGGTGGCTGGGCTCACCTCTGAGCCTTTGAAGCTCTGTTTCTGAGCTCCCCACTGGTGAAGGGGCTTCCCAGAGTTCAGGAACATTTCCTCTTTTCAGCTCCCTCCCAGAGACCCAGGAGATGTCCCACTTACCCCCTTTCCCCCTTTCATCCTACCCAGTTGCATAGAAACCTTTCTTGTCCTTTCAGGAGTTTGAGATCTTCTGTTGGGTCCAGGAAGGAGGTGCTCTGTGAGAACTTCCCTGCCTGTAGAGGTGTTTTTGATGCATTTGTAGAAGGAAGTGAGTTCCACGTTCTTCTACTCTGCCATCTTGATCAGAGCTCTCTACATGCTAATTATTATTGTGATTAATATTGTAATTATTATTGAAGAAGGGGCAAGGATCAAACCTTTGGGAGCAGTAACAACATGCCAGGTGCTGTGTCAAGCCCTTTATGCACATTACTGCCTGTTGAGTCTGTGGGTTGGACCATCTCATCCCACTTTACAGATGAAGAAACTGAGGCTCAGAGAGAATAAGGATCATCAAAGCCACATGATCAGTGATTGGCAGAGCTGGATATTATACCTTCACAGCAGTCACACCCTTTCCCCTTTGCTGGTTTGTGACTGGACCAATGGGTGTGTATGTGTGTGTGTGTGGGTGTGTGATGGTGTGATCGCTGCCGGGAGATTCTTAGGTTCCCACCTTCCTCTCCAGGTGAAGAGAATGCTCTGTTCTATGTTCGCTGAGCATGGGGTCTGTGAGGACTCTGAGTGAATCCACAGTGGAAAGAACTCTAATAACACCCTGACCCATAAAGCAGCGTGCAGTTCATACCTGTCCACAAAGGCACTTTCTTAAAATGCACTGCTAGAGCGCACCTTTCCAGGTTGTAGCTGCTGAAACCACCAGTCTGTCCTCACAGAGGCATTTGCATTTGAACTGGGGTTGTCTCAAGGACCTCAAACTTCTGACATCTAAAGGCATCTGTGAAAATTACTAGAGCTAATCAATGAATATAGTAAAGTTTCAGGATATAAAATTAACACACAGAAATCCCTTGCATTCCTATACAGTAACAATGAGAAAACAGAAAGAGAAATTAAGGAAACAATCCCATTCACCATTGCAAAGAAAAGAATAAAATACTTAGGAATATCTCTACCTAAAGAAACAAAAGACCTATATATAGAAAACTATAAAACACTGATGAAAGAAATCAAAGAGGACACAAATAGATGGAGAAATATACCATGTTCATGGATTGGAAGAATCAATATT